CTATGAATTGTGGATTATATCTTGACCAATCTCACATATAAAAGGTTGATTATAAATGAAAAACAAGAATTTTGAAAGAAGAAGATGATATCTAGAGAGGGAACTGAAAACATCGATTAGGGTTTGTTTTTGCACGGGGAGTTATTAAGTCCACATAAGTGTCTTTACAAGGTGGAATGTCCGTGTTAGATGTTGCTATCAAGATAACATGCCACAAGAGTAAAAATTAACAGAGGGATCAAAAAGAAGTTGGATTTTAAATTTTAGCGACCAAAAAGGAAAATTTTTCAATATAAGGACCAAAAAGGCACTTTTTTTTCAACAGTAGAGAGACCAAAAAGGATATTTAACCTATTTTTAATGACTAAACTAAATGCATGTAAAAAAGTATATAAAAACAAGTACATACCAATTGTTTTCTAATACTTAATTAAACTAACAAACATTTAGTTGGTTTGATATTTACTAATTAAAAAACCATAATTGATATCAATGCTATGGGTTCAAACCATACAACACTAAGTAATCAACTTTGTGTATGGTAAAAATTGGTTTAATTCAATAATTGGTCTATTAACTATTCGCCTAATTTCATTTTAGTCTAGAAAGTTAGATTTCTTTCTAAATAATCTATAAACTTTATAAAATATTTTAGAATAGTCTACTGTATAAAAATTTTATTAGTTTTAATAAAAAAATAATAAAAAAGTTAAATCAAAATCAAAACAGAGTACTCCAATCAACAAAGCAACCCATAACATACTGTTTCAGCTATTAAAACATGTCAATAATTGTAATTTTTATTACAAAGGAAAATTGTTAAAAGGAAAAGTTGAAGAAATATATGATAAAACTTATAGTTTTTCAAACAGTGAAAAAAAAAAATTTCATCCTCAAAAAGTTAGTTATATCTCAAAATTAATTTCAAAAAGTAAAAATTCACAAAAAAATATAGTTGAAGGTTAATTTAACTAAATGGAGTGAAATTGTTAGCAGAAAGTTAAAAAATTAGACTAAACTAAAATAAAAGTAAAAGATAATAGATGAATTGAAAAGTATTTAAAAATGATAGACAAAATAGAAAAAAATACAAAAATTACTAGACTATTTATGAAATTAAGCCGGTAAAAATTCGTGAAGAGAATAGAAGGACATAAATTATTCCACCGTCGAAAAATGAAAGAAGAAAGGAATAATTCATCTGCTTTCCGCCCTTATTTCATGAACCATCATCAGCCTTTTCACAAGCATATATTCAGCCTTCTCTCTGCTAAATGTAACTCATAACATGGAAAGTAGACGCAAAAATGTTTGGTATCACCCCACGCAACAATAGAGCTCCATTGTCCGGTATGTAGACAGATCACAAGCCACGGTCTCCGGTAGAAGCAGGCAAGTTCAGTACTCTGGCGATGTCGAAAGACGTTGAAACAGGGGATTTGTTATACGTTTAGAAAGGTAATGGGCAATTCTAGCAGCCAACAACCTACTGATCTCTCCCATTTTTCCACCTCCACCTCCTCCTCCTCCACCTCCACCTCCACCTCCACCATCTCCAGCCAACGTGGGAGAAAAAAGGCGTTACTCTGTGGTATAACCTATCACAATACCAAGTACAAGCTCAAGGGAACTGTAAATGATGCCAAGAACATAAGAAAATTTTTGATCAATTACTTTAATTTTCTACCTGAAAACATACTTATGCTTACAGGTATCAGTGTTTAGTGGTATTAATTATTTCACATTCATTTTATAATTCGAAATTTCCATTTATGGAATTTTATCATTCATTACATGGTGGTGTTGTGGGAAACTGAACGACAGAGGAAGCAGAGGAACCAGACTTAATACCGACGAAGTGCAACATTGAAAGATGCTTGAGCTGGCTTGTACATGACTGTCAGGACGGCGACTCATTGGTGTTCTTTTATTCCGGACATGGATTGCGGCAGCCGGATTTTGATAGCGATGAGTTAGATGGGTTTGATGAAACTATTTGCCCTGTTGATTTTGAGAAAGAAGGCATGATCGTCGATAATTACATTAATGCCACCATTGTTCGGCCCCTGAAGGAAGGTGTTATTCTCCATGCCATTATTGATGCCTGTCACAGTGGAACTGTTCTTGATCTTGAGTACATTTACACAAGGGAATTGTAAGTCAGTTTTGTATTCCATAATTGCATTTCTTTTCCATAATTACATGAGAATGCTGTTTTTGCCATTGGATAGGAAGGATAAGGGACAATTTCGGGTTGCCTCCTTATCTAATGGTCTAAGTTGTATAGTCCGAAATAATTTAAATTACACAATACTTTTTCTATAATTATATATGTGTATCATAAATGCTTTTATCAGTTCATCCTGCATTTAAAAACATGATCAAACCCTCCATTTATACCCTGCACATTATTTTTTTCATGTGGTTAATACCCTTAAAAAATTTTCTTTTTGGTCAACACCTTTTTGTAATTTAAAACTTATAAAAAAAACTCAAAAATTAATAGTTAAACTCCTTATTTACACTCTAATTTTATTGGTACTTTAGAATTTTTTACGCGTTTCAAATTATAAAAGATGTTGATTGAGAGTAAAAATTATGGAGGATATTAACTATAAAAAAAAAATAATGTACAAAATACAAATAAGAGGTTTGGCCTAAAAACATTGACACAAAGTTGAAAAACACAAAATGATATCTTCGTTTTTTCTCACTCTAAATTAATGTTTTTAAGTGCAGTGTGCCATTAACCAAAAAGTGAAAAACAAAACATTCTTATATCTAGAAATATATATCTCATAGATAATTCTCTCATTTCTTAATATCAAATTTAAAATCTTTGTAATAATATTGCAAGAATTTTTATTGAGAGTTGGCAGCGAAAGATGGGACAGTAACAAGCCTCCATCAGGTGTTTACAAAGGTACAAGTGGTGGATTGGCGATTTGTATCAGTGCTTGCGAAGATGATCAAATGGCTTCAGATACTAATGTATGAAGTTTTTGGTTCTTCCAATTCAGAAATGATTTTTTCTTTATTGAATCAAAATTTACATAAAAAGGAATGTGTTTTTTAGTTCGAACTATTTTAATAAGCTTGGCACAGAAAAGAAAATTTTATTCTTAATGAATAACATTCTATATATATGATTTTTTGCAGGCATTTGAGTCGAAGATGAATGGGGCATTGACCTACCTTTTAATTGAAGTTGTCAGGAATTCAGAATTCATAATAACATATGGAAAATTAATTAACGAAATCTTCAGGCGAATTGAAGAAGTTAATCAACAAGGATGCTGTAATACAGTGAAAATTCTTAGGAAATTGTGTATGTGCAACATCACACAGGTTAGCTCTCTCTCAATTTTCGATTTGCGTATGAGTTAATTGATCGTTGCAAATAATAAAATAGAGAATCCCTTTAAAAAAAAAAAAAGACGGGCAATCCCCCGTCAAACAATTAAAAAGAAAATTTGTGAATTTATTAAAAAAAATTATATAATTTAAATTATTCAATTTAAACAGTTGAATGTGGCGACCCCTTGATATTCGGGGATGTACCTCCATCCCTGATTCACCACTTTCGGAATTAAAATTTTGTTTCCTTTTTGTGCAGAAGCCTCTACTTTCATCTTCTGAAGTGTTTGATGTTTTTGCGAAGACATTTACACTGTAATTCCATTCCACATGCATGGAAGATACCTTAAATCGGTGAGTATTACGGATTCCGGATCAAGATTTGCAAGGATTGAGTCATCCTCGGTATCACTTCAATGCTCTGAAGGATAAAGTCTGTACCAATCAGAGTTTTCAGGCAATAAAAAAAAAAATTGCATTATATATATATAAACAAATTAATGAAGAGAGATAAAAATTTATCATAAACTTTGCTAATTCCCAAATTATTTATAAAATAATCCTGTTAACATCTCAGAATCTCACATAAAAAAGGATAGAATTGTAAATATAAGCGGTATATAAGTACAAAAGACTAATCACTATTACTAACTTGAAGTTAAGTTTTTGTTAGGGCAGTGACAACTTCAAATGCTTAGGTGGGGATAGATTAGGTGGATGGATTATTATAACAACTCAAAATCCAACATCAAGTGAAATTATGAGTGTGAGTAGTATATGAGTGTTGAGATAATACATGAAGTTTTTTGTAAATAGGATGATAAGTTATACAATACAAAATAATTATTTTTTTTTCTTCAATCTCTCCTCACTCATAAATAAACTTGAAATCTCCAACTTTAATTCTCAAAATTGTTACAATTGAGTTGTAATAATGCATATCCTTAAACTGCTTTGGCTGTGTTCGGGGTTGGGGTTTTATAGTATTTTTGCATAAAACACCTTATTAAAAATGTTAAATTATTAGGATTAAATTAGTTTTAATTAATATTTTGCATAATTTAATAATTATATTGATATATGACACTTTTTTTGAAATAATTATCAGTTAATAACATTATTTTTGTAACAGTAAAAATACTCAAAAAAATCACAATTATAATACTTTACAACAATATCTCAAACGAATCCTTTGACTCCATAAAAGACATTAAACAATCTTCAATGAATGTTAGGGGTGCACCATAATGGGTATCATTTTAAATCTTTGTAATACAAAGATACTCACTCTTATGATGTATCCAAAAATTTATTATCAACATTTTTTTTTATTAAAATGGAAATCACTAGCATCTAGTTGCTTTCTTTTTTATTTTTTAAACAGCTGTCTAGTTGCTTCGTTGCCAAGCCAAAATTATTCATTTATTCTTATTCCCATGCCAATAGAAGTTATAAAAAGAAAAAGAAAAAAGAAAAGGGCATATGCTCAGTGGCGGAGCCGCATACAGGCCAGGAAGGGCCACGGCTCCCCCTGATCTTTTGAAAAATTTTTAATTAACACCCTATACTTTTAAAAAGTATAAATAGGATCTTAAGATTTTAAATATAAAATAAGAATTGATTAATTATTTGAGAAATTATTAGATTATATATCTCGGTTTCGTTTTAGTTTCTTCAGTTAGATTTGGCTTTAATGGTTAACATAGTATCTCTACAAAAAAAAAAATTTTAATTACTTTGTATTATTATGTTTTACCTTTCATTTTTCTTTGATAATGTTTAAGGAAAAGATAAAATTTTCTTTATTTTGTACATGTAGTTGGTTATAGGTGAATGGTAAGTTTTGTTTTTTAGTGTAGAAGACCACTACTTATAAATAATGTAAAATTTTAATTTCTATAATATCTCTGATTATTATCATAATTTTAATTGGTTATTAAAGAATTATACCATGTGGGCTATTTTATCCCCTAACTAAGAATTACACCTTGCAAATAACTAAAATTAATTTGGGTACCAATGCAATAATTAATTTCATTGAAAATTAACTAATAGCATAGGATCATAAACTCTAATCATATCTTCACAATACAAATGACTAGAATTTGGTATGTTAATTATTTAAAATATCTTCACTAATAAAAATTTGATTGAATTGGTATCTAGTACCCACTAAGTTATCAATCTTGATTTACAATAGTATAAACCTTTGTAATGTGCAATTAATCTTTAATGTGCAAAAAAAAAAATCTTTAAAACATCTAAGTTTTATTGGTTAATTTATATTAATATTTTGTAATAATGATTTTGTTTGAAACTAAAATTTATGAATAATCACATAAATTTTAAGTAATTTTTATAAACTTAAGGCATGTGATTTTAGTTTTTATAATAAAAGTCTTAGTCTCCTTTTTATATATTATAACTCTAGCAAAATCCATCTTCTTTAATGTTTTTAAGTTAAAAATGCAATTTGATATTTTTATTTTCTTCTTTTATAATTTTGCAATTGGCCCCCTCAAGATAAATTCCTAGTTACGCCACTGGATATGCCCATATTTCCTTTCAAGAAACAACGATCATCAAGGCTTTTCATAAGCTTGCTTCCAACGACTTCCTATTTTTTATTCCATCGATCGGCAAAACCAACGAGAACTGTTTACTGGTGTGCCGGTGGACATATATACAAGCAGTGTTATTAAAATCTGCTGGTGCTTGACTCATTTTTAGCATGGATTTAGTTCAACCGATTCAACCATTTGGTTGGATTGGTCAATTAAAATTTTAACTTCTTTTAGTATTTTTTTGTATATTTTATTATATATTGACATTGTCTTATTTTTAAGGCATAATCACTTTAAAAATAACTTATAAATCACCTAAAAAACAACTTAAAAAGTTCAATTTAATTACATATATACATCGAAAAGATAAAATGCGTAGAGGGTAAAAAAATTTTAAATAAAAAATTACTACTAACCAAGTCAGGTCAACAAGTTGATTGGGTTTGAATGGATCAATTTTCAAAATGATTTAGAGTATATACCTAACCCCCGTTTTTATAATCAAATTTGCTTCAATCGGTTGAACCAACCACATCAAGCCGGGTTTTTAAACAAGCAAGTTTGATCAGTATGTCCATATTTTTATCTAAGAATATTCCGAAATAAAGGAGAAGCTTGATCTGAGTTCACTCTGATGCTCACCGGTAACAGTGTTAAATGGTATTTATCTCCTATTAAACTTTTTTTTTTGGGCCATTGATCTTACAATGATTTAATTTGAAGTTTTTTATATGTTTGCATCCAATCATTTATTTATTATAGGATTTTTTTAACCTCTGTCATTAAAACATAAGTTAAGAGTGTTTTTTTAATAAATTTATATAAAAATAAAAATTCATTTTAAAATTAATGTTACCTAAATAAATTTAATTAATAATTAATAAATTAAATATTATTTTTATTTTTTTTTTAAGACTCTTAAGGTATAGGTTAAAAAAACCCCTTAATTATATGGTGGTCTTGGGAAAACTAAGCTACAGAGAAAGCAGAGGATCCAGACTTTATACCGACAATGAAGAATATTAAAAGGGCTTTGAGCTGGCCAGCATGTGGAATATTGCGGGTCTAGTAACTAGACCTGGCAAACAAGTCGGAATTGGTGGATTCCGATTAAGTCATTTCATATCTTGAGTTGTTTGAATTGAGTCATTTTGGGTGTTGGGTTAAAAAAGTTGACTCATGATCTATTCATACGGTCTCAGATTGGATTGGGTGAACCTAACTTTAAAAAAATTAAATTTTTTATATATTTTTTATATTTTTTTTAACAAAATCTAATACTAATTAACTATTTAGTTAAAATTTTTTATTAAATGTTAATTTTCATTTCATAATTCAATTTTTTTCCAATCTCAAAAAAAGAAAAATAAAAAATCAGTGATTATATAAGTAGAACTAGAATATATGTCAAATACATAATACATAGAACTAGAATATATATCAAATACATAATACTTATACAATATTTATAATTCATAATTTTATAAATGTATTAATTTTCATTAAAAGAAAAGGCATAAAGGATTAGAGTTCAAAAGACAAATCCAATATATATATATATATATTAATATTTAGTGCTTATTCAATATTTATAAGAGTATTATATAAAAAATACAATTCTATTCAATATTTAAGAGGACATTATACAAAAAATATAACCCTATTCAATATCAAAGTTTAAAAGGTAAATCCAAAATATGTCTAACCAAATATAAGAAGAATTTGGATCAAAATTGATTTTTATTAATTAGGAACAAATTATTAATTAAAAACAAATTAACAACTAAGAATAGACATTGATGTTTTTGATATTCTTGTCTTTGTACTTTTAATGGTTATGGGAGTACTTTAACCACTGGGTTTTGATTTTCAGTCGGCATTCTTGCTTTTTATTTTTTAAAAAAATAATCTTTTTTACGATACTGGACCGTGATACATTTACCCTCACTGTTGACACCCTCCGTTACACACCTTGATTTTCGGTTACTCAATCCGTTAAACTCCAAACACCCGTTTCTTGCTTTCCTTGCTTTCCTTTTTCCTTTTTTTTTTTTTATTTTTTTGGGGAGAACCCAGACCTGGGTTCTCACCGTGAGAACCCACAGGTTCTCTTAGTAAGAACTCGATCTGCGTTCTCTCACTTTAAGCTACGCTACCTGGGTGATTCTCTATTTTCTGGATTTTCTGGGTTTTTTGGACAGGGTTTTTGTGAGTATGATGATGGCGGTGAAGGACGAGTGGGTGATGGCGGCGATGACGGATGACAGGGTGGTGGTGGAGGCGGTGGTGGAGTTGTTGGTCAAGCTGAGGCAGGCGTAGGCGGCGCCACCGGCTCGGAAATCTGCAGTGGAGAACCCAGTTACGGCGTTGTTGTTGCAACCCATGATTGGGGCAACCCAGTTCTGGGTTCTCCTT